GCATGCTACCTTAAGTCTGCCTATTCCATCGTCTCTAGTTGTGCCTACGGTAAAAAAAAATATGATCATTAATTCTAACTGTTCTTTGTTCAACCAGGAAAGCCTGACTTGACGTGTCAAGACGTGTTATTGATGCGGTTCCTGCTACATTAGTATGTTTGGCGTTGAATGATTGTCATTGTTCATGAGCGTTTTGCTTTGTTGGAGGAAACCCACCACGCACACGAGGGGGATGATGTTTCTAAAGCTCCACAAAGATTGATTCAAGAATGTATTGCTGTAACGCCATCTCCTGGCTCACCTTGCTTTCCTGCGTTGACTCTGCTGTCTCTCCTCCGCGTGTACAATTATCTTGGGTGAATTCTAATGTTTTTGATCGTTTGCGTAGGCCTATATTGTGTATAATGTTAATCAAGTTATTTTTGTATTTTGTGTAATGCAGGGTTCTTTCAACGCTAATTTCCAGGAGGCCACGTGATACAATGGCCGTGTGTTCTGGTGGGCCACGTGATATCAATTGTAACGCGATGTCTTCGCGAAAGCGTCATGACATTACGTGCGTAACGGCTATCGCTAAACTGGATCTCGTATTTATCTCGCTTTTGATCTGGTTCGTCTGCATCTCTCAGTGTCTTGGCGGGCCGTAGCTGAATGCGGTCACACACCGAAACCTCTTTTTTTCTACTGCACAAGCCGAGCCGTGCTGCTGACGTCACGTGCAGCGAATAGTCGAGACGCAGTGACGCTGGGAACCCGCAGTCGTTAGTACCTTCCCCCCACTTGGCCCTGCTTGGTCCCCCCCCCCCCCAGTCAGATTCATATCAAAAACTAAAACCATTTATTTTTATTTTACCAGGTAAGGCCCACTGAGCATATCGTAGTTTGGTTCCAGCTCGGCTCGGATGTGCCAGTGGAAAATTGTAAAAAGAGCCTTCGGGGCTCAGGTGTGATCCGCTGGTCCCCAATTTGAAGGACCGATTTGTTGTGCATAATCTTATTTCAGTTATATATATACACACTCATTAATTTTAATGTAGCTAGTTTCGTCAATCGACTTGAAATCACAAGCACTTGTGATCACTTCGAACCACAACCGGCTTTCGCTACAGGTGACGCCACAGTACGGCATTCTCCACACGCGTCGTGATTGGTTCATGGAGCCCCATATCATTTTGAATGCCGGATTGGTGATTGGCCGCATCAAGCTACATGCGCGTGTGTGTGTTGGTGGAGGACTGGTTGTCGACTGAATTGTGTATGTAGTGGTGGTGGTGGTGATGCAAACGTCGTGTAGTTTTTGTACACATTTCTATGTACATTGAAAATAAACGTTGATCAGCAGGGTGTATACTGTATTAAGCTGTGCGGTGTTCACTCGCGAGCCTTCCACACGTGGCCTCAAAACTTCACGTGGCCTCAAAGCCCACCTGGCCTGGCACAGGCGCCGTGGTGACGTCACCGTCACTTAGTGGTGACGTCACCGTCACTTAGTGGTGAATCCACAGGTATTGGTGTAATCTAATATCTCATTCGCCAAGCGGTTGTGGCTACCCACTGTGGCTTGTACATCCAACACCGGAGGGAGCGATGCTTGGTGGATCAGGCACAAGTTGTCAAACTCAGAATCAGAATATTTATACTGGTAGGAATCTCCTGGTTACACCAGCCCACAGGGGATTATTGTGTCCGTCCGTCGTGAATCCATAAATGGGAGGGGGAGGGTGGGTAGGGAGGGTGGGGCTGGATGGGGAGGGGCTGGTCACCCCGTGGTGCCCTTATAAAACTCAACGTTTAACCTACTCACGCCGGCTTGTACCCGCCCTCACAGTCGGCCATATTTGCGGAATACACCACGCCGCCGTTGACCCTGGCCATTGACCGAGCAACCCAACGTTCCTCCGTAGGAATGTGTTTTAACATGGGATGACGTTTCACTCAAATTGTGTTTGAGTTTTATTTAAGAAATTATTCGAAAATCGAGTGCGCTTATCATTAACCCCGTGGCCTTAAAGGGAATTCTGTAGAAAAGGCTACATTTCTGACAACGGCTCTTATTCAGAAACTAGCCTTTTGCTCGTCCAAGGACGGGTGTATTGCAGTAAATCTGAAACTTGCAAGCGAAAATCAGACCACGACGTGTTATTCATTGCATCACATCGTGTGCAATTTGTAAGGGCGCGGTGACACAGACTTAGTTCATTTAAAGGTTATAATCCCTTGTTCATCATGACGTCCTTTTTACTTTGATGTCTCAACAGCGTTACGGAGATCACGTGACGTGAGGGTTCTGCCTTTGTAGTGAGGGTTGTGAGTTGACGCCGAGGAGGGGGGAGGAGGCGCCTCGCCCCCCCATGTGGAGTGACGTCACCCGCTAATTATTAATGATGGGGTGTGTCCATTTGGAAGACGTCACCTCTTCATGATTATTAATGAGGGGGGTTGTTCGATGTGGAGTGACGTCACCTGCTCGATGATTATTAATGAGGGGGGGTTCCATGTGGAGTGACGTCACCCGCTCATGATTATTAATGAGGGGGGCTGGCCGACGTGGAATGACGTCACGCACGGGACACACAAACATTGGCTCATCATAGTAGTAAATAACGTCATCTTCACTAACCTGCGCCCGTTACTCTCAAATAACCCATCATCTCTTCTCTCCTAGCTCATCTTACTGCTACACCCTGGCCCACCCCCCAGCTACAGCCATGTCAACCCCTATCACTACCCCAACCCCTATCACTACCCCTACCCCTATCACTACCCCCACCCCTATCACTACACCCACCCCTATCACTACCCAACCCTTATCACTACACCAACCCCTATCACTACCCCAACCCCCATCACTACCCTAACCCCTATCACCACCCCAACCCCTATCACTACCCAACCCTTATCACTACCCCAACCCCTATCACTACACCCACCCCTATCACTACCCAACCCTTATCACTACCCCAACCCCTATCACTACCACAACCCCCATCACTACCCCAACCCCTATCACTACCCAACCCTTATCACTACCCCAACCCCTATCACTACCCCAACCCCCATCACTACCCCAACCCCTATCACTACCCCAACCCCTATCACTACCCCCACCCCTATCACTACCCAACCCCTATCACTACCCCAACCCCTATCACTACCCCAACCCCTATCACTACCCCCACCCCTATCACTACCCAACCCCTATCACTACCCCAACCCCTATCACTACCCCAACCCCCATCACTACCCCAACCCCTATCACTACCCCAGCCCCTATCACTACCCCAACCCCCATCACTACCCCAACCCCCATCACTACCCCAACCCCTATCACTACCCCAACCCCTATCACTACCCCAACCCCCATCACTACCCCAACCCCTATCACTACCCCGACCCCTATCACTATCACCACCCCTATCACTACCCCAACCCCTATCACTACCCCAACCCCCATCACTACCCCAACCCCCATCACTACCCCAACCCCTATCACTACCCCAACCCCTATCACCACCCCAGCCCCTATCACTACCCCAACCCCTATCACTACCCCAACCCCTATCACTACCCCAACCCCTATCACCACCCCAACCCCTATCACTACCCCCACCCCTATCACTATCACCACCCCTATCACTATACCCCTATCACTACCCCAACCCCTATCACTACCCCAACCCCTATCACTACCACAACCCCCATCACTACCCCAACCCCTATCACTACCCAACCCTTATCACTACCCCAACCCCTATCACTATCCCAACCCCCATCACTACCCCAACCCCTATCACTACCCCAACCCCTATCACTACCCCCACCCCTATCACTATCACCACCCCTATCACTATACCCCAACCCCTATCACTACCCCAACCCCTATCACTACCCCAACCCCTATCACTACCCCAGCCCCTATCACTACCCCCAACCCCTATCACTACCCCAGCCCCTATCACTACCCCAACCCCTATCACTACCCCAACCCCTATCACTACCCCAACCCCTATCACTACCCCAGCCCCTATCACTACCCCATTCCCTATCACTACCCCAGCCCCTATCACTACCCCCACCCCTATCACTACCCCAGCCCCTATCACTACCCCTATCACTACCCCAGCCCCTATCACTACCCCAACCCCTATCAATACCCCAACCCCTATTACTACCCCAACCCCTATCACTACCCCAGCCCCTATCACTACCCCAACCCCTATCAATACCCCAACCCCTATCACTACCCCAACCCCTATCACTACCCCAACCCCTATCACTACCCAGCCCCTCCTGAACCACTCCCACCTGTCACCATAACTAACACCACCACGTTTTTTAACCCCACTCTTTATTTTAACCACTTATCATTTCCTGTGCAATGTTTATAATTGTTGTAAAGCGCCTCTAGCGCAGGCACTATGCGGTACAAGTCTACATAAGATAAGCTAATCAATCAACACATACACCACGCGTGTAATCGATTCGCAGAAACACTCCATCGATTTCTAATCTCATAAAAAATTAACCCGTAAAAACAAAGTTTTTCACTATAAATCCTTTATATGCGTGGCGGCTAGAGTCATCTCGTCGTCTGGCTTGAGATGGCTGCCACCTATGGCTCAGATGATTGCCTGCCACCATTAAGCAATTGGTAATTAAATATAAAAAAAAATTTCCTAAAAAGTGTAAAAATTTGGAAACAAATTTTCACGAAAATTAATTGTCACGCACAACGAGTCTGCGTGCAAAAATATCAGCTCGATTGGATCACGGGAAGTGGGTTAAAAAACGAGCGAAAGATTTGCACGGTCGTAAGCGCGCAAGCAAGCAAGTGAACTTAATATAAAGGATTTAATAATATAAAGGATTTAAAAAGAAATCTGCGTAGGAATCGGAATCGTCAGTCTTTAGCTTGCGGCTGTTTACGAATCGATTCCCCGACGAGAGGTCCGCCCCCCACGTGACGTCACGCGGACACGTGGTCTGTGTGGGGCCTTGCGACCGAAGGCGGCTCCTGGCTGTCGCTTAATTTATAAAATTATTTAAAGATTTTTTTTTTAACTTAAATTCCTCCACCCGCTCGCCGCGCGTGTAATTTTAATTCGCTTCCCACCGCTGTTATTATCATCATCGCTATTTTACCTCAATTAATTCACGCCGTTTTAAATCGCGCTCACATTTCTTATTCTCTCGTTGTGTGTGCTGCTGCTGCTGGCGTCGTAAATGAGCGCTTGTTAATAAAATGTAATTTTACGTTAAACATTTTTTTGTTAAAATCAAAATTAACTCTCCATTGGCAGCAGCAGCAGCAGCGACGTTGTAATGTGAAGTCAAGCAGTAATCGCGTCTGTTGTATCTTGACGAGAGACCCACCACCACCACTAGCACAGCCACCACAGCCTGCCCGCCTCGCCGCGCCTTAGGCGGCAGGGCATGGAGCGAGCCGGGCAGAGGGACGCGGCATTCGTAGAGGTGAGAGATTGTTGTGTGTTGTGTGTGTGGGGGGTGGTGGTGGTGCGATTTTAAGGGGGTTCTTACATTGGGTGGGGGGCTATAGAGTGTCTTTGTGAGTGTGGGGGGGGGGTGCCTCTGCGGTTTGTAGGGGGCTGTTGTAGGGCGTTGTCTTTATGGGTCGTTTGGGATCGGTCACTCTGTGTGTGTGTATGGTTTGGGATTGTAATGGGTGTGTGTGGTTTGGGATTGTAATGGGTGTGTATGGTTTGGGATTGTAATGGGTGTGTGTGGTTTGGGATTATATTGAGTGTGTATGGTTTAGGACCTGTGTGTGTATGGTTTATGATTGTAATGGGTGTGCTTGGTTTAGGACCGTTGTGTGTATGGTTTGGGATTGTAATGGGTGTGTATGGTTTGGGATTGTAATGGGGGTGTATGGTTTGGGATTGTAATGGGTGTGTGTGGTTTGGGATTGTAATGGGTGTGTATGGTTTGGGATTGTAATGGGTGTGTATGGTTTGGGATTTTAATGGGTGTGTATGGTTTGGGATTGTAATGGGGGTGTATGGTTTGGGATTGTAATGGGTGTGTATAGTTTGGGACCGTTGTGTGTATGGTTTGGGATTGTAATGGGTGTGTATGGTTTGGGATTGTAATGGTGTGTGTATGGTTTGGGATTGTAATGGGTGTGTATGGTTTGGGATTGTAATGGGTGTGTATGGTTTAGGACCGTTGTGTGTATGGTTTGGGATTGTAATGGTTGTGTATGGTTTGGGATTGTAATGGGTGTGTATGGTTTGGGATTGTAATGCGTGTGTATGGTTTGGGATTGTAATGGGTGTGTATGGTTTGGAATTGTAATGGGTGTGTGTGGTTTAGGACCGTTGTGTGTATGGTTTGGGATTGTAATGGGTGTGTATGGTTTGGGATTGTAATGGTGTGTGTATGGTTTGGATTGTAATGGGTGTGTATGGTTTAGGACCGTTGTGTGTATAGTTTGGGATTGTAATGGGTGTGTATGGTTTGGGATTGTAATGGGTGTGTATAGTTTGGGATTGTAATGGGTGTGTATGGTTTGGGACCGTTGTGTGCATGGTTTGGGATTGTAATGGGTGTGTATAGTTTGGGATTGTAATGGGTGTGTATGGTTTAAGACCGGTGTGTGTATAGTTTGGGATTGTAATGGGTGTGTGTGGTTTGGGATTATATTGAGTGTGTATGGTTTAGGACCTGTGTGTGTGTGTATGGTTTGGGATTGTAATGCGTGTGTATGGTTTGGGATTGTAATGGGTGTGTATGTCTTGGGATTGTAATGGGTGTGTATGGTTTAGGACCGTTGTGTGTATGGTTTGGGATTGTAATGGGTGAGTATGGTTTGGGATTGTAATGAGTGTGTATGGTTTAGGACCTGTGTGTGTGTGTATGGTTTGGGATTGTAATGGGTGTGTATGGTTTGGGATTGTAATGAGAGTGTATGGTTTAGGACCTGTGTGTGTGTGTATGGTTTGGGATTGTAATGGGTGTGTATGGTTTTGGGTTGTAATGTGTGTGTGTGGTTTAGGACCGTTTTGTGTGTGTGTGTGTATAGTTTTGGGCTGTGATGGGTGTGTCCGTGTCTATGGGGGTATCTGAAGTTATTTTGGGACTCTAAAGGGATATAAGGGGGTCTCTAGGGGACTGTGACGAGGCTTGTGGGCATCTGTTGGGGTCTCTGTGTCGTCTGTGGGGTCTATTCGAATCCGACATCAAGGGGTGTTTAGAGTCTCTGGCAACGGGCGACACGAGTTCGATTCCCTCACACGGCCAACACCAGTGACGAATATCCTAACCGGTCCCGGGCCTCCCCTAAGTCAACTCGGCCTCAAATGAGTACTTGATGCGATGTGTAAACATCGCCGCTGGGTGTTAGGCAAAGGCGGTCGGGCGTGGTGCTGGTCATCCACTACCTCGTGTGCCGTGCCGGCCTTTATAGGTGCTCGCTAAAAGCACTTGCCCCTACAGTCTGCTAAGGCTATACGGGGGATCTTTGTTGACCGTGGGACTATTGGGGTCTCTGGGGATATAGGGGTTGTTCATGGGGTCCCTGGGAGTTTATGGGGTTTGGTTGGCTCTTCGTGTGCGGCGGTGTCTATGGGAATTGTAGGACAGTGGTGTCGACCATATTTGTCTGTGGTGGCCTGTTGTACATGGGGGGCTGTGGCGGTATAGGGGGTAGTTTATGGGATATCTATTGGGGTTTATAGGGTTTGTGGGAGTCTCGGGTATGTATGGGATCTCCCCGGGTTCTGGTGGTTTGTGTAGATGTCTGTATGGGATCTGTGGCGGTACATGGTTATGGCCCCTGGAGATCTGCTTTGGGTTTTTTTTGGGATTTCTATGGGGGTGTGTTTGTGGTCCGTTGGGATCTGTGCTAGGGTGCGTGCTATTCATCGATTCGTTGATATATAATGGATGTGTATGAGGTCTCTGAGGTGGGAGGCTCTGTACGGTTTGAGGGGAGTTGTCTTTCAAAGGCCCCCTCGTCTTTGTTTTAGCTACATTGGTGTCTGTGGACATTTGTGATGGTCTATGGAGCTTTGTGATCTATCTTTGTATATGGGGATGTTTGTGATGCTCTGGAGATGTAGGGCTGATGGTCTCATACCTGTCAACCCCTTGTCAGTGCCCTACCTTATTACAGACCAATTCAGACCTTATTGGTCACCCTGTGCCCTTAAAAATCTCAACGTTCATCCGACAAAGTCCCATCACAAGGGAGAAACACATTTCGATTTAAAGCTTTCGTGACTGCAGGGATCTCATTCAGACACTGTCTTTCTGACAGACCTGTTCTTCACCTGAGGACGGCTGCTTGCGTTGTGGCCGAAACGTCGTGAGAATTATTTTATAATGTTTTATTTTTATTATTTTATTATTTCCATTCTACGTCACTTTACCAAAAAAACCAAGAAGAAGGGAGAAACACACACAAAGACAAACACATTTGTTTGCACGTATTGAAACGGCTGTACGTTGTATGCACCTGAAAACTCTATTTCCCTGTGCAATAATACGGCTCAACCGTATGGGTTGACAGGTATGTGGTCTATGAAATTCTCTGATTATCTGTCGAGGTTTCCGATGGTTCATAGATGTCTTCGATAGTCTGCGAAGGCATGTGCTGATGAATGAAAGTTTTGTTTTGGTATGTGGAAGTTCTTGATTGTCCGTGGAGATTTGTGATTGTGAAAGTTTGTGGTGGCCGATTGAAGCACGTGATGAACTTTAACCATTAAGACAAGGATATGTGCCCAACAGCGATGCGTATACATATGGCACAAACAGATGTCCTTGAAAACCAGGTGAGCCGTGGTGGTGCTAACCCATCGGGGGGCCGAAGCAGAAATTATTAATTGGGTTCATCCGACTACAAATATGATGGACTGTACTGGATAAGCACAGTTGCTTTGGTATATCACAGTTAGTTATTTGGATTTAAGGATGTGAATTCAAGCTGATATTTAATGCACCCCAGTGCTTAATTTTAGCCGGAACAGTCCGGAGTGCATTTTTTAAAATGATTATTGTTACGGAACATCCATCTCACCTTATTCTGTCCACTCGTTATTGCATCTAATTCGTATAAACTTGTTAATAGGGTTATAAGAATATAGGGTTTTATAGTAAATAATTATTATGGATAGGCCTGCCTTGTATTCTTGTGGTAGTGCCTTATGCTGGTAATCGCTAATGCAAGCCATCCTGAAAATTAGAGTGAGAAATTGACCCCTGGTGCATCCCTATTTGTGTTATAAATCTGAGCCCCCCTTGAACTATTTGGGGCCCGATCTCAGAATCAGAATATTTTATTCATACTTGAGGAATCCGATGGGCTATAAAGTAGGTGCAGGTCAGAACGTTACAACAATAATACAAAAACACAACAGGAGTTCAAAGTATAGAAAAGGTAAGAAAAAATACTTAAAAGTATATCCACAAATAAAACGAAACTTTTATTTTTTTATCTTACCAAGTTAAGGCTCACTGAGCTATTAACTTCTTTTGCAGAAGCGACCTGGCCACAAATGATAGCTCAACTAAGTGGCTTATAATGATAATTTGAAAGTATAAAGCGCTCTTAAACAGTCGTTCTCGGGGTGCCACATGCTTAGTTTGCTTGCAGCCAGTGATGCTGACAAAGTAAAATACAGCATTGAGTTATTTTTTGCCGATTACAGATGTGCCACGCCTCACCACGCCAATTCAAGGCTCGGCTTGTGCTTTTAAACTCCAGCCTGGCGAAGGGAGGGGGGGGGGGGCGTTGAGGCGGTGCCGGTGAATGTGTAAGTTGATTGGGGCGGCAGCTGTAGTTGAGAATTTTAATTCGCAAAAAGTTAAGTTGGCCCCATTATGAGCCAAGCGAGCCACAGTCATACGTGTTAAAAAAGATGTTTACACAGCATTTCCTCCACGTTACCAGTGGGCGCATACACAGTGACCCGCATACAGGGCAAGGTGGTGAAGGCGCAGCCTTGCAGTTGCTCGCTCGCGCCACTGCTGGCAGAAGGGCCTCCACTCGAGGGAGGTCCAGAGAGCAGAGGTCGCAAACGGGTTTTGATTCCTTACCCGTACCCGTACCCGGACGCACCAGGGTCGCAAACGGGTACCCGTACCCGGCCGTACCCGTACCCTACCCGTACCCGGCCGGGTACGGGTACCCGGCCGGGTACGGGTACGGTACGGGTATCGGGTACCTGATTGCGACCTCTGGGATGAAGCCATGTTGCAGGCGCTGGTGGGTTGATTCTAGGAACTTGAATTGTGAGAAGAGACAAGACGTTGGGAAATGAGTGACAAACGGTTACTCACCAGTGACTCACGGCCTACCCGTACCCGGCCGCACCAGGGTCGCAAACGGGTACCCGTACCCGGCCGGGTACGGGTAGCCGGGTATCGGGTAGGGTACGGGTATCGGGTACCCGGTTGCGACCTCTGCCAGAGAGCCCCTTTTAGAGCCGTGGTTCCAAACCTTTCTGGAGTCGGGGAGCACCGTCAACCCTCTCAAGTCTTCTTATTTTGTACGGCTGCTGATGTGGATGCAGAGCCACAACGACAGTTTCACACAAGCCGAGATAACCGCGTCAGGAGTAGCGCAGTGTATCGCTGTGATGTCTCTCCTTCGTATTTGTGGATCGGGCATTGCGTCGTTCTATGTTGTACGGTCTGGTCTGGTTCTGGATGACCGTAGTTGAGTAATGTTTGCGGACCGCCGTGCAGTAAAAACTAAAATCTGGTGGCTTTGTGGAAGAAGATGGCATCTGAAGCAGTTCCGCAACTTCCCACAGGATGGGCATCACCGCTGCAGAGCGAGCGCTGGGACTTGGTCGTCCGTGCTTGCTCGACATTCCGCGTATCACAGGATGTTTTGTTAGGGGGACCCCTAAAAAGGGAAGAAAAAAATTTAAATCGCACGCCCGCTAAACTTAGCTTGAACGGCGTGCATGCCAATGTTGACTCGTGGTTAGCGTCGTCCTCGCCGCAGGAACATCACTACTCCAGCATTGGATTGTGCATTCCAGAATTAGATTGTGATTTTTCACTGGTTCAAGCGGTGGTGCCTTGGCTTAATTTTACGTTGCCTTAATTTGTTTCATTTTCGATTTAAAGCTTTCGTGACTGCAGGGATTCATCTTCTTGGTTCTTTCGGTAAAGTCACGTAGAAGGGAAGTAATAAAATAATAAAAATAAAACATAATAAAATAATTCTCACGATGTTTCGGCCACAACGCAAGCAGCCGTCCTCAGGTGAAGAACAGGTCTGTCGGGGAGACAGCGGCTTCAGACGCTTCCCTTCTACGTGACTTTACCGAAAGAACCAAGAAGATTAAATTGTTTCACTTAAAAAACACATAAATAACACTATATATATTCCATAAATAAGACAAAGGTCCTTTGTATAGCCTCAACAGACAGTTGGGGCAAGTGTTGTTATCGAGGAGCACCTATGGAAGTCTTTGTCTCCCTCGTGGCATTGTTTATCTCTGAGTACCTATAAGTACACACACACACACCAGTTGGTGCACTCATGCTTAGAGGTGCACATTACGTAATTTTTTTGTATTCTTAGTGTTCATTGTCATTGCCAAATACTCACAGCCAGACTAAGGCCCTCAGGAATCTGAGGGTCCGTGGCATTGCCAGACTAAAGCATCTTCAGGATTTAAGTGGCGGTTTCCTGTTTGGGCTGTGTTTTAGGGTTCTTAGGGTTCGTTGTTTATTTCCTGACACCCAAAAGAGCCAGACGGAGCCACCTTTTCGCACTTGTAAGGTTTCCGTGTGAATTTCCCCAAGCCGAGAGAGTCAGAATAAGGGACGCTTACTATTCTCAGCGCGTGTTGTAATTGTCCAACGTTTGCACTGCCGGACAAAGGCACACCCTCAGGATTCATAGGGTCCATATTGCTCTCAGTGGCTGCGTGTTATTGCCCGTTCCTCGCACAGCCAGACTGAGGCACTTTAGCGTTCGGTGCTATCGCCCTCGTGCTCAGAACCAAAATCCAAGAGCAGAATAGCTGCAGCGCACCAAATCCCATGACACAGCGAGAACACGGCGCACGAGCGGGTGTGTGTAGCGGCGGTGCAGACGCGTGGCGTGGCTTGGGCGTGTGCCCGTCTGCGTGCGTGCTGGGCTGAGCATGCAGTGACGGACGTGTATGTGTCAGCAGACAGGCTGATGTAACTTCACTGTCTAGTGATGCGCGGTGTTCTGGTCTTAATCAGCAGAAAATACCATCACTGGCAACAACAGCGCCATCGCCGTCGCCTCCTCAACCGCCACCTCTATCGTCACCACCCCCTGTACCACCACTAACACTGCCACCACCCGCACCATCATCAACGCCGCAAGCATCACGACCCCCCATCTCTACGAGCAACAGCAGTGCTAATGCCGCCACCACAACCACCACTGCTATCGGCTTCACACTGTCAGTGCCACCAACACCGCCACTGCCACTACCAACACAATCCCCACTTCCCAACACGACCACACCCACTGTCAGCACCACCACTACGCAGGACTGGGCAATGAAGAGCATTAATACTGGTAGGAACCTCCTGGTTCCACCAGCCCACAGGGGATTATTGTGTCCGTCCGTCGTGCATCCAAAATGGGAGGGGTTGGGCTGGGTGGAGAGGGGCTGGGTCGGGAGGGGCAGGGGGTGGAGGGGCTGGGTGGGGAGGGGCTGGGTGGGGAGGGGAGGGTGGGGAGGGAGGGGCAGGGGGGGAGGGGCTGGGTGGGGAGGGGCTGGGTGGGGAGGGTGGGGAGGGGCTGGGTGGGGAGGGGGTGGGGAGAGTGGGGTTGGGTGGGGGGTGGAGGGGTGGGGCTGGGTGGGGAGGGGCTAGGTGGGGAGGGAGGGGCATGGGGGGGGGGGGGACTGGGTGGGGAGGGGCTGGGTGGGGAGGGTGGGGAGGGGCTGGTCACCCTGTGGTGCCCTTATAAAACTCAACGTTTAACCTACTCACGCCGGCTTGTGCCCGCCCTCACAGTCGGGCATATTTGCGGAATACACCACGTCGCCATTGACCGAGCAACCCAACGTTCCTCTACCAGCTCCCTCCGCAGCAGGAATGTGTTTAGCCAAAGTGCATTCGTGGTTGGGTAGGTGCAGTGTTGAATGTGCTCTTTCCAATACAGTCACAATTTAGATTTTTTAAAAGCTAACATTTTCCCCCCAATGGTATCCCGATTTTGCTGTTGGTGTCATATATTCATAATCAACGTTTTTGGGTTTAGATCGCATTGTTTATAAATGTGTCGTAACTCTTCACCACCCGACACGGCCAATTGCAATTCGCCCGATGATGAATTGCAATTCGCCCGATGATGCTGGATGCAATTACCAGCGAAATGTCGTACTCAAATTGTAAATGTTGTGGTTTCATGCTTCAACTCACCGGTGGGTTAAAGCAGTGAACTATTTGTCTTTTGTCAAGGTGACACTTTTTTACTGATTGGCCGTGTCGGGTGGTGGAGGGTTACGACACATTTATAAATAACGCGATCTAAACCCAAAAACGTTGATTATGAATAATATTAGTCATGAAAGCCTACGTGTTAAACTGGTGTCATATAGTGAGACACATAATCCATTCACATTTTTTACAGAGCAATGCATCCCTTCGATTTAGGGAACGGCCCACGGAAGCGGATATCACAGAGCTTATTCTGAGATGTCTTCAAGTGACCTCTGGGCCACCACAGTTGACCTCTGGGCCACCCACAGTTGACCTCTGGGCCACCCACAGTTGACCTCTGGGCCACCCACAGTTGACCTCTGGGCCACCCACAGTTGACCTCTGGGCCACCCACAGTTGACCTCTGGGCCACCCACAGTTGACCTCTGGGCCACCCACAGTTGACCTCTGGGCCACCCACAGTTGACCTCTGGGCCACCCACAGTTGACCTCTGGGCCACCCACAGTTGACCTCTGGGCCACCCACAGTTGACCTCTGGGCCACCCACAGTTGACCTCTGGGCCACCCACAGTTGACCTCTGGGCCACCCACAGTTGACCTCTGGGCCACCCACAGTTGACCTCTGGGCCACCCACAGTTGACCTCTGGGCCACCCACAGTTGACCTCTGGGCCACCCACAGTTGAGGGCAGCACTTTTCCACCCGCTCTTCAAATGAGTGATGTTTGATAATTGTTTTTTACCCTTTTATCTGGCAACAAAACTGACACCTTTTTTACAAGGAGTCATGTTTGCATTGACCACAATACCTGCAGTCGTAATGCCTTTTGGCGTCATCTGGTCCAACACCATGTGAGACTAGGCTCTAAGGAAAGCTGTCTCGGGTGTGGACCAATCAACTTCAAGGACAGTGCATACATTATCAGTTGTGTTTTTTTTTTGCATTACGACTGCAGGTATTGTAGTCAATGCAAACATGACTCCTTGTAAAAAAAGTGTCAGTTTTGTTGCCAGATAAAAGGGTAAAAAAACAATTATCATATTTTTTCTTCTGGCAAATGAGGTTCCAATGGTGAGTGATGTTTGTCGCATGATGGTCAATCAGAGCGACATTGTATTTCTCAGAGATGGAATTTTGCTATATTGAATGTGGAACCAAAGTTATAGTAATGGGTTTTTAAAAACAATTCTTGGCGACCAGGCTGAGACCATCAACTCGTATCCATTGCGAAACCGGTTTAATCACAGGGAGTGACTTAAACCTGGATTCAAACCCAGGTTCTCAGCGGTGCCGGCTCCGTGCTCTAACCTTAATCCTGACCTTATCTGTAACCCTACTCACTGCCTCTTGTGTATGTTGGTGCATGTATGTTGAACTTACGTACTCATCTAATCCCAACCCTAACCCATAACCCTGTAGCTAACCTGTAACAGCTTACCCTCACCACGTGTCGGACTGTAACCCTCCCCCGGTATCTCACCCTCGGCCCTGCCGCTCTCAGGCCGCACCGCGCTCAGATCGACGCGGTGCCGTCTCGCCCGACCGGGACAACTCCTCGCTCACCTCCTCCCCCGAGGGCCGCGGCAGCGGCGGCGGCGGTCGCGGCGGTGGCGGCGGCGGCAGCGTCGGTGGAGGCAGCGTCGGTGACGCAGGCAGCGGCGTGGGTGACGAGGGGAAACTGTCACCGGACATCGAGGCGCTGGAGCGGTTCATCGACAGCTGCGTGCTGCAGTATCGCGTGGAGGGGACGCTGCGTGACGACGAGCAGCCCGACTCGGACTCGTCGCCCGTCGCCTCGCAGGTGAGGGAGCAAGTGGGCGCGTGGCGTGGCGCTGTGGGGTGGCGCTGTGGGGTGGCGCTGTGGGGTGGCGCGTGGTGTGGCGCTGTGGGGTGGCGCTGTGTGGCGCTGTGTGGCGCTGTGTGGCGCTGTGTGGCGCTGTGGGGTGGCGCTGTGGGGTGGCGCGTGGTGTGGCGCTGTGTGGCGCTGTGTGGCGCTGTGTGGCGCTGTGTGGCGCTGTGTGGCGTTGTGTGGCGCTGTGGGGTGGCGCTGTGTGGCGTGGCGCATCCGAGTTGGGATGCGGTGTGCCACATGCGAGCGCACATACCTCCCGGAACGTGTGCTGTATGTATACTGTATGTGTACTAAAGGCCGACTGAAACTGAATTTCTGGTTTCGGCCAAAACCGAAACCGAAAGTATGCCGAAAGAGGCCATTTGCCAACTTTCGGCGCCGAAACCGAAACCGAATTTCGGTCGGCCTCTAATGTGCACACCCCACGGTGGCGAGCTGTTAACTACCTCGCTTCGTGTACAGGAGGTCATGGGTTCGATCCCGACCCTGACTCCTGTATATTTGGAGTTTGCATGTTCTTCCCGTGGTCGCGTGGATTTTTCTCCGGGTCCTTCGGTTTTTCCCTCCACATTTAGAAACACGCGTTTAGAGTAGTTGGCTGCTATGAATGTACATGTGATGATAAGCCACTTCGTTGAGATATCATTTGTGGCTTTCGTGACTGCAAGGATTCATACTCTTAGGTTTTTTCGGTAAAGTCACGTAGGTAAAAAAATGTAATAATAAAAATAATAGAAATAATATATCACTATTATTATTTCTATTATTTTATTATTTATTTTTAGTTACGTGACTTTACTGTAAAAACCTAAGAGTATATATCATTTGTGGCCAAGTCGCTTCTGAAAAAGAGCTACGTAATTCAGTGGGCTTTAACTGGTAAAATAAAAAAAAAGTTGTTAAAGTTTTAGTTGACTGTAGTGTATTTATTGTGCATATTTTGGAAGTCTCGTCATTCTCATCTGCTGCCCTCTTTGTAACTCTTCTCAGAAATCTGTTCTGTTGGCTCCCTGCCCCTGTTCCAGTCTAACCTCAAGACCTGCCTGTGTAGAACATTTTTTTTGACTGCCTCTTTCTCTCTCTATAAAATAAATGTTCCCGCTTTCTGTACAGCGACGCCGTATATATCCACATTCTATTGTATGGACTCGCACAGATGCGAATAGAATCACAAAGAGACCCATAGACTCCCATAGAGACCTGTGACTGATTGCCTCTCGTCATCTCCACGGTGTAAACATTCCCACCGTTTCTGTACGGTGACTTGAGACGCGGTCGCATTTGGACGCCCGTATAAGTCCCACGTTACGACTGTTATTGTTCGACCGTACTTGCAAAAGCGAAATCCCTCTTGCAACTGCGCCCCTCGCCAAAACCCTGGGCGTGAATGAGGTGCCTCTCTTCGACGGCTCTGCTACGCATTTTTTTTCTTCTTCTTCTTTCGACAAATGCCAAGAACGCTCGGAATTATTCGAAGAGGGCTTCGGCTTTCTTTGGCTGGCCAACGCAACTGCGATGGAAAGAATTTGCCGCTGTGTCCGAGGAGGTGTGGGAGGGGGGTAGGGGTGGCGGAGGGGAGGAGTGGGGCGCGCTAGGGATACCAAATGAGAGTGCAGAAATATTCGCCGCGGTGTGTATAGGTGCAGCTCTGCACTTGCGAGCTCCAGGGAGCTACTGTTTCTAGGTTATTTTGACCTACTCTTCCTCGCCGGTCAGACGACTTGTAAACTATAAAGTATTAAAATATATTTATTTAGTTTAAAGCCCGCTGAGCAATGTAGCTCTTATTCAGATGCAACCTGGCCACAGATGATAGCTCAACGAAGTGGCTTGTCGTGTGGAATTTTATAGCGGCAGCGAAATACTCTCAGTGCATGTTTCTAAAGAGGGGCGAGCACCCACACTTTACTCAACCACCAACGCGCGATTTGCCAATCGACGTAACTGCGGTGCGCCTATTCATATGGCGCCGCAGTAGAGGGTTATTTACTATCTCGCCTGGTATGGAGGAGGTCGTGGGTTCGATCCCATCCCAGACACCTGTATATTTGGAGTTTGCATGACTCTCTCCCCATGGTCACGTGGATGTTTCTCCGCGTCCTCCCGTTTTTCCCTTACATATTGTAGAATCGGCATCACGCATTTAGAGTATGTGGCTGCTTTACATTACCACGCGATAAGCCACTCGGTTGAGCTATAATTTGTGGCCAGGTCGCTTCTGAAAACGAGCTACATAGTGCAGTGGGCCTTGCCTGGTAAAACACATTCCTGCGGAGGGAGCTGGTAGGAACGTTGGGTTGCTTGGTCAATGGCCAAGGTCAACGGCGGCGTGGTGTATTCCGCAAATATGCCCGACTGTGAGGGCGAGCACAAGCCGGCGTGAGTAGGTTAAACGTTGAGTTTTACAAGGGCACCACGGGGTGACCAGCCCCTCCCCACCCTCCTCACCCAGCCCCTCCCCACCCTCCCCACCCAGCCTCTCCCCACCAGCCCCTCCCCACCCAACCCCTCCCTTCCCACCCAGCCCCTCCCTGCACGACGGACCCAATAATCCCCTGTGGGCTGGTGTAACCAGGAGGTTCCTACTAGTAAAAGAGCTACACACAGCTCAGTGGGCCTTACCTGGTAAAATAAAAATAGTAATCGTCTACTGCTGGGCGGGCGTTGTTAGCGACGGGTCAGGGGGCGGGGGGTAAGAAACTTTCACCATTCTTTGCAAGTCCAGCTTGCTATTTATTCCACCGCGTACGGTGCGAAAGAAGTTTTACACACACATACATACCACGGTGGTGGCATCCACTTAGTCTGTACAGCACCGCTGTCAAAACACACAGACCAGCACTCCTGTTAAGCTGTGTAGTGGAGGTTTTAAACATATACAATAACACTCAACATATTTGCCAATAACACGACCTTAAAAGCACATATCTGATTTAATGTGCTTTTGAAGAAGGACCATTGTCCAAAACGTTGCCTATTATATAAATATGTTACTAGTAGGAACCACCTGGTTCCACCAGCCCACAGGGGATTATTGTGTCCGTCCGTCGTGCATCCAAAAATGGGAGGGGTGGGGCTGGGTGGAGAAGGGCTGGGTGGGGAGGGGAGGGAGGGGCTGGGTGGGGAGGGGCTGGGTGGGGAGGGGAGGGCTGGGTGGTGTTGGTGGGAGGGGTGGGGCTGGGTGGGGAGGGGCTGGTCACCCCGTGGTGCCCTTATAAAACTCAACGTTTAACCTACTCACGCCGGCTTGTGCCCGCCCTCACAGTCGGGCATATTTGCGGAATACACCACGCCGCCGTTGACCCTGGCCATTGACCGAGCAACCCAACGTTCCTACCAGCTCCCTCCGCAGGAATGTGTTCTTTGAAGGCCACACAGTGTGTTGAGCTTTGGAAAATATATTGTTACTTGTGCCTTTGCACCACTGCCATCGCAGCAGCAACATCAGCAAATAACACGTATATGGGTTTTTACATATTGTTTATATTACGCATGACATTTCAATGCATTGCGTAATGTTACACGACGGGGAAAGACAACGGACACGTGTGCAGCGGTGAAGGCGTGGTCATGTGATCCTCGGGGGGCCCGTGAAGGGGGGGGCGGTCAGTGTGAAGCGCGTACCGCGAAGCGACGGCAATTTTTTCTTGGATTTTCTGTTTGCACATAGTCACTTGAAGATGTTTTCTTGTTCATGTTTTTGTTTTTTGTTTGTTGCGGTTGCACCCGATTCAAGAGCCGAATGGCTCACAGGGTTATACCTAATAAATAAACTTTGAAACTTTAACGCTAGCTTTTGTTTATTTTTGTTGAATAAAATAAGGGTTGTAAAATAATAAGAAACAAAAACTTCAGCCGTTTAAACGTTCTCGTCGTTGGGGAAACTTCCTCGTGTTTCTCAAAGCACAACGCACCCCACGCGCGATCCGACCCAAAAATCTGAAAGAACGATTCAAGTACATTTTGTTGAACCGGCTGAGAACTCGGGAGAATAGGTTGTGAGTCTCGTTGGCAAGAGTGACCTGCGACCTAGTCTTATGTTTTGCAAGAGCTAGCATAGCAAACAAAAAATGCACGGTATTTATTTGCATTTCCCGTCATTTCAAGGTAATGTCGCGTTTTACGGACCCCCGAGAACCAATGTTGTACTCGCACGGTGTCAAAACTGGAAGTGCGCCCAAAACCCTTATCTGCAGCTGCACCGAGTGGCTGTCATTCCTAACGTTGTTGTAGGGTTTGTGTTTACCTGCTTGGATCAGCCGCGATCACGATTTGCGGACTTCCAAAGTCACTCTGTCCACCGAAGTCTGTTGACAAGAGCCGTGGACATGCTGTGTTATAGAAGGGGGGTCATGGGCCAAAACGTCGCCTGTTGTACATGTTCATTCCGTTAAAGGCCGGACTGTTTAATGGCACGTGTTGAGTTTCTATTGTTATTGAATGTACGTTGACATTTTTTCCCACCATATGTAGCCAACCTTTGTCAGCTTAGCGTAAAATCTAAAGTAATACACTACGTCTGTTTCGTCTAAATGTTACGGAACAGAGACTCCTTGTCTACTCGGTCTAACAAAATAGATAAGCGGACAATGTTTCCTTCATATTTCTTACACAACACGTGTACGCCCAACGCCCTTCTGGCAGAGCACGATCTTGGCAGCATTGCTTCATTTTTTTTCGATTTAAAGCTTTCGTGACTGCAGGGATTCATCTTCTTGGTTCTTTCGGTAAAGTCACGTAGAAGGGAAGTAATAAAATAATAAAAATTAAACATAATAAAATAATTCTCACGACGTTTCGGCCACAACGCAAGCAGCCGTCCTCAGGTGAAGACCAGGTCTGAGACAGCGTCTCCCCGACAGACCTGTTCTTCACCTGAGGACGGCTGCTTGCGTTGTGGCCGAAACGTCGTGAGAATTATTTTATTATGTTTTATTTTTATTATTTTATTACTTCCCTTCTACGTGACTTTACCGAAAGAACCAAGAAGAAGCATTGCTTCAGTACAAGCAAACTGTGGACCGGTTTTGACGTGTAGTGTCTCATCAGCATTGTCAGGCTTGCTTGAATCTAGTGGCGGTGAACTACCAGATAGGAGTTCTAGTTGGACGCAAAATTATACGCAACTCAAAATGATCACGAGCGTTGTTGTAGGGAATATGGGAGCCGTATATTCAAAGGAAGGTCATACTCTTCTTGGTTCTTTCGGTAAAGTCACGTAGAAGGGAAATAATAAAATAATAATAAAAAATGAAACATAATAAAATAATTCTCACGACGTTTCGGCCACAACGCAAGCAGCCGTCCTCAGGTGAAGAACAGGTCTGTCGGAGAAGACAGCGTCTGACACTGTCTTTCCGACAGACCTGGTCTTCACCTGAGGACGGCTGCTTGCGTTGTGGCCGAAACGTTGTGAGAATTATTTTATTATGTTTTATTATTTTATTTTTTTATTATTTCCCTTCTACGTGACTTTACCGAAAGAACCAAGAAGATGAATCCCTGCAGTCACGAAAGCTTTAAATCGAAGGTCATACTCTTTGGTTCTTTCGGTAATGAACGGCCGATTGTGTTGCGATCGAAACGTCGTGATTGAATTTATTTTATTTCTCTACCTACGTGACTTTACCGAAAGAACCAAATAGTATGGATCCCTGCAGTCACGAAAACTTCAGATCTAAAAGGAAGGTCCTTGGCAATAACATCTGTGAGTTCACCAGCATTGATTCATGCAAGTCTGATGCTGCTGACGGATACACTGCGTGCCAAAAAACCCGTTCCAGAATTTGCTTTACCTCAGTCTTCGTTGCTGAATGGGAAAGCTCCCAGAAGGCTGTGCTGCCGATGGGGGGGGTGTAGGAATTTTCTTTTTTGGTTTTTCGCAGGGAGACGCGTATCGTATGCTTATCCGTTTTGGTTATTTGGCCTGCTGAGTGTAAAATCTCCGCTCATCCGCTTTGCTCATCGCAGCGAGCCCTCTCGCCCCTCACCCCTTCGCCCGCGGTTTACTCGCGCTACCCAGCACCGCGTCCAATTTGCGCTTTAAACATTTGCACGCCATGCACCATACACCACGCCATGCACCACGCCATGAACACGCGCCATGCCACGCGCCACGCGCCATGCCGCGCCACGCCGCCCGCGATGCTTCACATTCCTGCGAGCCGCTGGGCCACAGGAATTTTCGTCCTCTACCCCCTTCTCCCATGCCGGCGGTCCGCAGTGTTTTGAAGTGGGATGCTGGCAGCGAACATGTGGAAGCCACGCGTGTGTGCGTGCGTGTGCGTGCCCGCGTGTGTGCATGTGTGCGTGCGTGTGAGCGCGTGTGTGTTATGGGGAGCGATAGTGTAGCGGTTAGCGTGCTGCGCTATGAACCCGGCGACACGAGTTCGATTCCCGCTCACGGCCAACACCGGTGACGATTATCTCAACCGGTCCTGGGCCTCCCCTAGGTCGACTCAGCTTCAAATGAGTACCTGGTGAGGTGTGTAAACATTGCCACTAGGGAGACAAAGGCGGTCGGGCGTGGTGCTGGCCACCCACCCCCTTTGTGTACCGTTCCGGCCTTCATAGGTGCTCGCTAACAGCACTTGCCCCTACAGTTTGTTAAGGCTATATGGGGGATCTTTATCTTTGTGTGTAGGGAGAGGTAGTGTAGCGGTTAGCGCGCTGCGCTACGAACCTGGTGACCCAGTGACGATTATCTGAACCGGTCCTGGGCCTCCCCTCAGTCGACTCAGCCTCAAATGAGTACCTGGTGCGATGTGTAAACATCGCCACTAGGGAGACAAAGGCGGTCGGGCGTGGTGCTGGCCACCCACCCCCTTTGTGTACCGTTCCGGCCTTCATAGGTGCTCGCTAACAGCACCTGCCCCAACAGTCTGATCTTTGCTTTGTTTGCGTTCATGTATGAGCAGTAGTGCACACGTTTTAACGCGCCGTGCTACGAACCCGGCCATCTGAGTTCGATTCCTGTTCACGGCCAACAACACTGGTGACAATTATCTGAACTAGTACGGGGCCCTCCCCTAGGTTGACTCGTCCTGAAACGAGTACCCGGTGCGGTGCATGAACATCGCCACTGAGGCAACAAAAGGATAGTCGGGTGTGGTGGCCGGCCACCTCGTTTGCCTTCGCGCTGCTACTCGCGAACGGCACTTGCCCCAACAGTGTGTTAAGGCTACACGGGCGGTCTTTGTCTTTGTCGTCCGCGACAGGGCTCTTCGGATCGGAGCGACAAGCGGAGCACCCGGGCCTGGAAGGGTCAGCGAGGAGGCCGAGGTCGGATTCAGCAGCGGTGGATCAACAGCCCCCCGGTGAGCGGCCTGCGGGCGTGCGGAATGAGCGAACGGAGTGGAATATGCGACTTGGGCGAATGTACGAGCGTGCGGGTGACCGCACGAAACTGAGCATGCGACTTGGGTGAACGGATGAGCGTGCGGGTGAGCGTCGCGTAGCGTGCCAGTGAGCGAATGAACGGGTGAGTAAACGAACGTATGAGTTGGCCGATGGAATTGATCGTTGAGCGAACGAATAAAGTAGTGAAATGTGATGTTGAGTGAGTGAATGAGTGAATGAATTAGCTGGTGTGTGCCCGTTCCGGCTTTGTCTGTGCGACAGGTTCAACGTGGAAGTCCCTCCCCACGGCCCAGAGGAGGCCGTACAGGCCCCCAGCCCAAGGTTGGGCCCCCCCTCACCCCCCCTCACCCCCCTTCACCCCCCTCACCCCCTCTCACCCCCTCTCACCCCCCCCTCACCCCCTCTCACCCCTCCTCACCCCCCCTCACCCCCTCTCACCCCCCCCTCACCCCCCTCACCCCCCCTCACCCCCCCTCACCCCCCCTCACCCCCCCTCACCCCCCCCTCACCCCCCCTCACCCCCTCTCACCCCCTCTCACCCCCTCTCACATCGTGCTATCTCCATACTCTCTTCCCTGGCTTTCCACACGCTCTTTCCTGCCTCCACACATTCTCACCTCTCCACCGACTCTTCCCCAGTCTCAATATCGTGCCAATTTACATCCGTGAATTAATCGATGACGAATGAAGAATGAATTAATGTACGGACGCCTTCCCGGTCATCTCGTAGATTGGTGGACTGCTGCATCGCACGACCACCATGGGAGATGGCGAGAGCTTGGCTTGGGCCATGTGAGGCCTTCATCCAGCAGTGGCTCGTGATGATGATGATGATGTTGATGACGACTCAGAAGCTGCATGAGTTTCTCTTGTTTTCTAATCCGCCACTTCTCTCCTCCTCCTTCCCATGTTGCAGCCTCGAGTCCAAGACCCTTCGTACGATGTATGGGCGGCGAATACGAACCCTTACGACAGGTGAGAGTATGGTGGTGGAGGTGGTGGTGGTAAATGAGTACCTGGTGCGGTGTGTAGTAAACATCACCACTGGGGAGATGAAGGCGGCCGGGTGTGGTACTGGTCATCCTTGTCCTCGTGTGCCATGACAGGCTTCATAGGTGCTGCTACTCGCCAACAACAGCACTTGCCCCAACAGTCTGTTAAAGTTTCGATTTAAAGCTTTCGTCACTGGAGGGATTCATATTCTTGGTTCTTTCGGTAAAGTCACGTAGAAGGGAAATGATAAAAATAAAACATAATAAAATAAAATTATCAGGTGAAGAAGAGCTCTCGGAAAGACAGCTCTGTTTCTTCACCTGAGGACGGCTGCTTGCGTTGTGGCCGAAACGTCGTGAGAATTTTATTTTATTATGTTTTATTTTTATTATTTCCCTTCTACGTGACTTTACCGAAAGAACCAAGAATATGAGTCTGTTAAAGGCTGCACGGGGGATCTTTTGTTATTTTGGTGGTGGTGGTGGTGGTGGTGGCGGCGGTGGCAGCACAAGAGGTTTTATTTATTCGTTGTGTTTTTGAGCCGCCACGATATGCGATCGGATTGTCGCGATGGAATGCGTGATGCGTTTGAGCCAAGATTCAGATGCGAGGGTTGTGTTGTGTTGTGCGTCTGGGCCAGAGGTCGCAAACGGGTTTTGATTCCTTACCCGTACCCGTACCCGGCCACACCAGGGTCGCAACCGGGTACCCGTACCCTACCCGTACCCTACCCGGCCGGGTATCGGGTAGGGTACGGGTACGAGTACCCGATTGCGACCTCTGGGATGAAGCCATGTTGCAGGCGCGGGTGGGTTGATTCTAGGAACTTGAATTGTGAGAAGAGACAAGACGTTGGGAAATGAGTGACAAACGGTGACTCACCAGTGACTCACGGCCTACCCGTATCCGTACCCGGCCACACCAGGGTCGCAAACGGGTACCTGTACCCGGCCGGGTACGGGTAGCCGGGTATCGGGTAGGGTACGGGTATCGGGTACCCGGGTGAGCCGCACTGCCTCTGTGATTGAACGGGGTCCAGCTTGCGTTCACGTGTTTGTCTCGTGCATCCATGTATTTGTGTACTCGGGTTTGTGCAAGTGTGTTCGTGTATGTGTGCTTGAATGTTGAACTTCTTTTACACCGTACGTAGCCAACCGTGCTAATTGGAGGTGAGGGGACAAAGGCGACCGGGCGTGGTGTTGGCCATCCACACCCTCGTGTGCCGTGCAGGCCTTAATAGGTGCTCGTTGATGGCACTTTCCCCAGCAGTCGGTTAAATGACATATGGGGGATCTTTGTCCTTTTGTCTATGAAGAGTAGTGGTGCAGTTGTGTATATTTGTCTGACTGCATTTGTCCGTGCGTTTGTGTCTGTAATTGCATCTGGTGGCATCTGTGTGTGTGTCTTTATTAGAATTAGCATTTGTACTAATGTGTGAGTGTGTGTGTGTATCTCGGAGTGTGTACATGAAGTCACCGCCACTTAGTGGCAAATGGCGGTTATTGTTTGTTGACATTGTTTGTGTCTGGAACTCTCAATCTGGAACTTCCAATCTGGAATTCCCTTCCCCCAGCCATCCTTGCTGTTAATACCCTTCCCCAGTTCACATCCAGGCTCCAGACCTGCCTTGTTTTCGCTCTGACTAACCGCCTCTATCTCTCTATACAAATAAATAGTGCCACTGTTTACACCATCTTTGAGATGTCTAATTTCGGCCGCAATGCATTGCACAGACTCGCACCAGACGCCAATCGAATCACAAAAAGGCCCATAAGACTCCCACGGAGACCTATGAACGCCTCTGTCATCTCCATGGTATAAATATTCCCACCGTTTCTGTACGGCGAGGATGCGGGTCACAGTCGGGCGCCGTATAAATCCACGTTGTGGTCGTCGTGTATTGCGTCCAGCGGCTGCAGCTGGGACGTGCAGCCAGACGTCCAGGAAACGTCGACCTCCCAACATCAAAGCCTCTCGAAGCATCCCAACCACACAGAGCACGGTGACAGGTAGCTGATGGTGATGATGATGATGATTGTGCCGATGATGATGATGATGATGCTGATACTGATGTCATTGCTACTAAAGATGCTTGGGTCAATAGTGTCGAGACCAGCGTCCTGACAATCCGTAGAATCTCTGTTGGGTTGAATCATTACATGTCTATTATTATTTATCATCATCATCAACATCAGCCTTGATCTATCCACTGTTGCATGAGGTCCTCCCCAGGCTGCCGACACCACCTCCCACGATCCCGCGATACAACACAGTTGCACGCGCACGAACAGATTTCAAAGCTCCATCTCCTTGCGGGCCTGCTCTCTCTGGGACGCGTTCCATTCTTTTGCTGCCACTCCGTGATTGCTCTCGACCATCGTCCATCCTCTCGGCCATCGCCCATCCCTTCTGGCCATGACGCGACCTGCCCTTGCCCGCACTCGCTTTTTCAACGGTTTGGGCGATGATGGTTACCGTCATTGTTGTTATCACCGTGTACATCTGCATGCCGGGGTGAGGTTCAGCACCAAGAGGCCGGGCCACGGTTAATTAACCGTGAGTTTTTTTTATTTTTCTCTACCACCGTTGCTCGACTTGCAGCGAATGCCAGAACGTGGGCGACGCGGAGGCTGCGATCAAGGACGACTCGAGGGACGACGGATCTTCCCAGGTGAGTGCTGCGCTCGTTTAAACAACAAAAACTCCTCGCACAATTTTATCGCGAGTGCGCAATCGCCGTTTAGCAGAGGTCGCAAACGGGTTTTGATTCCTCACTCGTACCCGTACCCGGCCGCACCAGGGTCGCAAACGGCTACCCGTATCCGGCCGGGTATGGGTAGCCGGGTATCGGGTAGGGTACGGGTATCGGGTACCCGATTGCGACCTCTGGGATGAAGCCATGTTTACAGGCGCGGGTGGGTTGATTCTAGGAACTTGAATTGTGAGAAGAGACAAGACGTTGGGAAATGAGTGACAAACGGTTACTCACCAGTGACTCACGGCCCTCTCACTCATTGGTTGGAGTGAGTCACGTGCGGCTACCCGTACCCGGCCGCACCAGGGTCGCAAACGAGTATCCGTACCCGGCCGGGAACGGGTAGCCGGGTATCGGGTACCCGGTTGCGACCTCTGCCGTTGAGGAACGAGACTAAGAATCCGTTTTGGAGTTCTCGCGGGGCGGCGCGATGCTTCGTGTTGTTCGAGAACAGTCCGCGGAAGCGGTTGTCACAGAGCTACCTCCGAGAATCCCTCCTTCAGGTGACATCCGGGTCACATACAAGAAGATGGCACTTTCCCAGCCGCACTGCCACACAGAGTCGTGTTTTCGCCGCACGAGTCGAAACGAACTTTCGTTCACTTTCAGAGCTGGAATTTTTCGCCAATTACAGAAGCAAATTTAACACGATTATTTTCCGTGCACTCGTTAACGACCAGGCTTGAGACCCGTCAACTCGCTGCACTTGGGAACCCGGATTAATCGTAGGCTGCAGCTGACGAACCCCGATTCGAACCCAGACTATCGGTGCCCGCCGATTCAGCACTCGAAGCTCTTGAGCCATCAAAAACCACCTCTTGGGAGCTTCGTGGTGGAAGGACAGGCTCCCATATTTAGTGTTTATTTTTGGGACCTGCCAGAGGAATGTTTGAGGCAAGACTGAAGTTACGGCGGTTTAGAAAAAAATGTCAATATCCTTAGCCCAGCACGATGGCAGCCGTAAGTTAATAATAGTCGCAGTTTCTTTCACGTCTGACCACGCAAGTGGCCATTGTGATAAAACATGTATTTTTTTTTTCCTAAACAATCATTAATTGGCTGAAACATCCTAATATACAGGGACGCCTCTACTTATGAACGAGTTACGTTCTAGAGGTCTGTTCGTAAGTCAATTTGTTCGTAAGTCCAACTTTACTCCTGTCGATTCCAAACACATTGTACAGCATGTACACTAAACACGGGGAATGGTTTTAAAACTTATCTAATCTCCTGTAGACGTAGATCCCACTGATTCTTTATGTTCTGTAGATGTAGATGCCACTGATTCTTCACGTTCTGCAGATGTAGATGCCACTGGTTTTTCGTGTTCTGTAGATGTCGATGCCACTATTTCTTCCTGTTCTGGAGATGTAGATGCCACTGGTTCGTCATGTTCAATAGATCTAGATGCCATTGGTTCTTCGTGTTCTGCAGATGTAGATGCCACTGGTTCTTCACGCTCTGCAGATGTAGATGTCACTGGTTCTTCACGTTCTGCAGATGTAGATGCCACTGGTTCTTCACGTTTTGTAGATGTAGATGACACTGGTTCTTCACGTTCTGCAGATGTAGATGCCACTGGTTCTTCACGTTCTGTAGATGTAGATGCCACTGTTCTTCTTGTTCTGCAAATGTAGATGCCACTGGTTCTTCACGTTCTGTAGATGTAGATGCCACTGGTTCTTCACGTTCTGTAGATGTAGATGCCACTGGTTCTTCACGTTCTGTAGATGTAGATGCCACTGGTTCTTCATGTTCTGCAGATGTAGATGCCACTGGTTCTTCACGTTCTGTAGATGTAAATGCCACTGGTTCTTCACGTTCTGTAGATGTAGATGCCACTGGTTCTTCACGTTCTGCAGATGTAGATGCCACTGCTTCTTCACGTTCTGCAGATGTAGATGCCACTGGTTCTTCACGTTCTGTAGATGTAGATGCCACTGGTTCTTCATGTTCTGCAGATGTAGATGCCACTGGTTCTTCATGTTCTGCAGATGTAGATGCCACTGGTTCTTCATGTTCTGCAGATGTAGATGCCACTGGTTCTTCACGTTCTGTAGATGTAGATGCCACTGGTTCTTCTTGTTCTGCAAATGTAGATGCCACTGGTTCTTCACGTTCTGTAGATGTAGATGCCACTGGTTCTTCACGTTCTGTAGATGTAGATGCCACTGGTTCTTCACGTTCTGTAGATGTAGATGCCACTGCTTCTTCATGTTCTGCAGATGTAGATGCCACTGGTTCTTCACGTTCTGTAGATGTAGATGCCACTGGTTCTTCATGTTCTGCAGATGTAGATGCCACTGGTTCTTCATGTTCTGCAGATGTAGATGCCACTGGTTCTTCATGTTCTGCAGATGTAGATGCCACTGGTTCTTCATGTTCTGCAGATGTAGATGCCACTGGTTTTTCACGTTCTGTAGATGTAGATGCCACTGGTTCTTCATGTTCTGCAGATGTAGATGCCACTGCTTCTTCACGTTCTGCAGATGTAGATGCCACTGGTTCTTCATGTTCTGCAGATGTAGATGCCACTGGTTCTTCATGTTCTGCAGATGTAGATGCCACTGGTTCTTCATGTTTTGCAGATGTAGATACCACTGGTTCTTCACGTTCTGTAGATGTAGATGCCACTGGTTCTTCATGTTCTGCAGATGTAGATGCCACTGCTTCTTCACGTTCTGTAGATGTAGATGCCACTGGTTCTTCATGTTCTGCAGATGTAGATGCCACTGGTTCTTCATGTTCTGCAGATGTAGATGCCACTGGTTCTTCATGTTCTGCAGATGTAGATGCCACTGGTTCTTCATGTTCTGCAGATGTAGATGCCACTGCTTCTTCACGTTCTGCAGATGTAGATGCCACTGGTTCTTCATGTTCTGTAGATGTAGATGCCACTGGTTCATCATGTTCTGCAGATGTAGATGCCACTGGTTCTTCATGTTCTGCAGATGTAGATGCCACTGGTTCTTCATGTTCTGCAGATGTAGATGCCACTGGTTCTTCATGTTCTGCAGATGTAGATGCCACTGGTTCTTCACGTTCTGCAGATGTAGATGCCACTGGTTCTTCATGTTCTGCAGATGTAGATGCCACTGGTTCTTCATGTTCTGCAGATGTAGATGCCACTGCTTCTTCATATTCTGTAGGTGTAGATGCCACTGCTTCTTCACGTTCTGCAGATGTAGATGCCACTGGTTCTTCATGTTCTGCAGATGTAGATGCCACTGGTTCTTCATGTTCTGCAGATGTAGATGCCACTGGTTCTTCATGTTCTGTAGATGTAGATGCCACTGCTTCTTCACGTTCTGTAGATGTAGATGCCACTGGTTCTTCATGTTCTGCAGATGTAGATGCCACTGGTTCTTCATGTTCTGCAGATGTAGATGCCACTGGTTCTTCACGTTCTGTAGATGTAGATGTCACTGGTTCTTCACGTTCTGCATATGTAGATGCCACTGCTTCTTCACGTTCTGCAGATGTAGATGCCACTGGTTCTTCACGTTCCGCAGATGTAGATGCCACCACCGCTAGATATTGCGCGGCGGTTGAACTTACGATTCTCGGACCGAACAGGCAACTGGACGTATGGTCAGGTTTGTTCGTATCTCTGAAAGTTTGTAAGTTGAGGAGTCCCTGTATAGAGAAGTGAAGAACTTGGGCAATTTTATCGGTGCTGGTTCACTCCCTGGCTGCTGCCTTCCAGTTTGTTTGTGGCTCCTCAGCAAATGTGAGGTGCAATTTGCAAGAACGAAAATGCTGTGTAAAAACTAAATAATCTATTATTATAATATACACTTGGAAAAAAAGTGCAGTATGAAGAAAGTTCTTGTGAGCAAGCACATGTGTGTGTGTCTCTTTGTTGTTGTTTACATGTGTGTGTGCTTGCGATGTGTAAATATCATCATCACTTTACGACAGGTGAGAGTGGTGGTAAATGAGTACCTGGTGCAGTGTGTCATAAACATCACCACTGGGGATACAAAGGTGCCCGGGTTTGGTGTTGGCCACCCACACCCTCGTGTCTTTATATGCGCTTGTGGACAGTCATGGTCTACTAGTTTTTAACACTGCTACTAACCCGGTCACCTCAAATCATTTACCGGTCGCGGGTAACATCAATGGCGAGTGGCATCACGCTTCCTTGAGGGACGCCGCTTTAGACGAGTACCTGGTTCAGTGAGCACACATCAGCAACTCCGATTAACACGGTCAGCTACGTACGGTGCGAAAGAAGTTCAACACGCTCGTCAACGGCACTTGCCCTCCCCTCCCCCGAGGTTGTGCAGGCTATACGGGTGATCTTTGTCTGTTGTGCCTGTAGGTCGTCGATGGCGACTCTGCTACGCGGGCTGTGAACTCCGGCCAGGGCAGGAGACGTGAGCGCAGGTGAGATGCGGGGGGGGGGGGGGGGTGTGAATGCGCGTGATGCGGCCGGTGCTGCCGCAGATTTCTGATCTCGCAACGCGCGGTGGAGAGATGACTGGAGTTGGGCGTCAATCAAACCAACTCGGTCTACCGGCTCCGGCTTGGGCTGCTGCCGCTGTGATCTGATTCAACACCGGCAGGTTAAGCGTAGGAATTTGAGTGCACGATTGGCATTCTTACATTTAACCAGCTGGGAGCCCGTTGGAATTCATGATCTGTTATTTGTTTTAAACCTTTGCGACCCTCCGACCCAATGACCCGTTTTTACTACCCCAATTGCCCTCCCAGCTCCAGGAGGCTGTACTGCCCTCCGGGGGTCCGTGCCACCCAACATCACGGGCACCACCATCAACACCAGCCGAACCATCACTATCAGCAGCAGCAGCAACAACAACAGCAGGATCAGCAACAGCAACCACAGCAGCAGCAGCAGCAGCACTACTCTCCGGACTCGCTTGCGCTGTTACGGAGAGGCGGCGGTAGACGGGACAGCTGGGGCAACCAGCACCAGGGCAGAGGAGGAGGCGGCGGCGGCGACGGCGGTGGCGCTAGGAACTACAGCCATGCGCCAGCGGGCTCGCCGCGCAGGCGCCACGGCAAGAGGGGAACGGACGCGGGAAAGGGCGGCGACGGCGGCGGCGGCGGCACGGGCGGCCGGGCGGCGCTGGCGCCGACGAGCAACGGGCAGCTTGGCGGGGCCGGAGAAGGAGCGCACGGGAGCAGAGAGCGCGGTGAGGAGGGGGAGGGGGGTGGGTTGAGCCAGGGGGAGGAAGGGGGGGAGAGGGTTAAGGAGGAGGAGGGGGTAGAGGAGGTGGAAGAGGAGGAATATGAGGAGGGGGATGAGGACATTTGTCAATCCACTGCTGGATGAGGGCCTCCCCTCGTCGTGCAGGCCATGAGTGGAATTTGTCATGCTGCACCACGCCAGTCGGCACAAATGTTGGAGCGTCGGAGTAGAGTATACTAGTACGTGTTGCCGCACTGCCTCACACTGACAACACATTGCCCCCGCAGCAGCCTACGCCACCCGCTGTGCACGGTGGTCACCCGTCCAAGCACTGTCCAGCCTTCACGCCTGCTTAGCTTTGTGAGATGTGAGGAGACCGGGCGCACGGCAGGCGATCTGGTCGCAGGCACGCTGCGACGCGGCCTGCCCCAGTTCGTGCTTGCTTCGAGCGCGAGCTTTTTCTCCGACAGTGCTTCGCGTGTTGCGTCGTGGGACGAAGGAATTTCCATTCGCAACTCAGCCGACCTAGGGGAGATGCCCAGGCTCCTTACCACCAGTGGCTGATTGTGGCGGCGGTGGCGGTGCCGTGCGCAGGAGCGGGCTGCGAGTGGACCGGCGGTAACGGCGCGAACGACAAGCGGGATGAGGAGTCGGAGGAGGGGAAGAGGCCGGGTCCGGAGGGAGAGCAGTCGGTGCCACGGGGCGGCGGCGGTGGCGGCGGGGGTGGTGGCGGCGGGGGCTTCCCTGCTACCCAGGGTCCCTCCTCACGCGATGTGGTCGCGGGGTCACGGCACGAGGTGAGGCGGGGCGGGGGCCGCCGTGATGACTTGTTGTGCGCGTGCCGTGCGGACGTAGTGTACGTAGCTTCGCCGTTTTTAACAACGGCGCGCACAGCGCTTGGCCGTATTCTCGGGGTGGACCGCACGCCGCTCGGCACGGCGTCCAACGAGGCGCGACACGGGAACACGTCGGAGGGCCGCGGGGAACGAGCACGGAAACCTCGTGCACCACCACACCCCTCTCTCTCTCTCTCACCATCATCCCCCTCTTTCACCATCACCCCCTTCTCTCACTACCACCGCTCTCACCACCACCACCACTCTCTCACCACCACTCCTCTCTCACCACCCCTCTCTGTTATCAGCAGCAGCCACGAGCATCGGGTGGCTCTCCGGGCTGCGGGGCGTCCTCTAAAGTGCGGCTGGACACGGGGACGGGGCTGATAAGTCACTGTGAGCGTGGTGGCGGTTTGGGCGGCGGTGGCGGCGGCGGCGGTGGTGGCGGTGGTGGCGGCGGTGGTGGCAAGGCGACGCCGCATTCTTCACCGCTGCTCGACTCGTCACGAGCGCGGCTGCAGTGCCGCCTGCAGCAGACGGTGAGGGAATGCGGCGAGTGGGACCGATGAGGGGTTTGTGCTCGACGGAAAAGCACAGCTCCTCTCTGTTAGCGACAATTCTGGGCTGTGCGCCCGTGGGCAGCTGCTGCCACACGTGATCTTGAAAGCTCAATTGGTGACGGAAAAAACAACAACCTTAAATTGGCTTTGAGGAGCGCGCGACGCCTTAATCGGTTGCGTTGGCACCGGGCGACTGCCGGGGCGAGGCTCCGCGTCGTAGCGCACCGTTGCGGCGAGCCGATGACGTCGCCGCGGCGTCGAGCGTTGGACGTGCGTTGCTTGATCGACGTCGTCGTCGTTGTCGTGTGCCTTTAGCAGCGGCCGAGGATGGAGTTTGCTCCCAGCCCGGACGCCCCGCTGAGCAACAGCGTCGACATGCTCTCGCAACTACTCGACGACATGAAGGTGACAATTGTTCACGGTTTTTTCTGGTCGAACAGCGGGCGGCACCACACGTGTCCGCTGTTGCCGCGCGGAGTTCCCACAGCGTAGCGGAGATTTATAGACCGGGTATAGACAGGATGACTCGTCGCGTACCAACCGGTGTCACCCGCCGTGGGTGAAGTGGAAAACGGAAGGCAGCTCTGTCGCCTGCGTCGCACCAGCAGAGCGGCGGCGGCGGCGCCGGTGCGGACGACGGGAGGCTGGAGCGCGTCGTGGGCGAGGCCTGGCGCCACGCGGAGGCGGACGAGGCGGCGCTGAGCGGCGTCGTGAGCACCCTGTTCGAGGGCGCCATCGCCAACCGGAGCGTGGCGGCCGTCATCGCCCGCCTGTGCAGCCGCATGCTGGCGCTGGCGCCGCACGGGAACAAGTTCCGCGGGCTGCTGCTCAACGCGCTGCAGGTGAGGGAGGTGTGGTGCCAGCGGCGGCGCTCGCGTTTCGCCACGCGTGGGAGCTGTCACGGGGTCCACAGGTGGCGGGTTCGCAGCACGTTGCCGAGTTCTGTCTGTGTGTGTCTGTGTGTGTCTGTGTGTGTCTGTGTGTGTCTGTGTGTGTCTGTGTGTGTGTGCCTGGCAGTGTCGGAGTTAGCGCTTTGCGCTGCGAACCCGGCGACTGAAATTTGATTGCCGCTCACGATTATCTAAACCAGTTCTGGGCTTCCCCTAGGTCGACTCGGCCTAAAACGAGTGCCTGGTGCGGTGCGTAAACATCGCCACTTGGGAGACAAAGGCGGCCGGACGTGGTGCTGGCCGCTAATAGCACTTTCCCCAACAGTCTGTTAAGGCTATACGGGAGATCTTTGTCTTGTGTGTGCGTGTGCGTGTGGGGAGCGGTAGTGCAACAGGCTTTTAGCACGCTCGGCTACGAACCCAGTGACCTGAGTTCGATTCCCATCATAGGCAACGTCAGTGACGATTATCTTAACCGGTCCCGGGCCTGCTGCAAACAGCACTTGGCCCGAACAGTCTGTTTAACCTTAATTTGGAGCTTTCGTGACTGCAGGAATTACTCTTTGGTTCTTTCGGTAAAGTCACGTATAAAGATTAAATAATAAATTTAACAATAGCATACGACGTTTCGATTGCAACACAAGCAATCATCAGGTATAAATGAAATAGCAACAAAAATCTAACCAGAAAACTATAGACAGACATATAAGCAGAAAGGCCTCGTCACAGAGACGTTCTCTCTCTGTGTGCCTATGTGTGTTCTCTCTCTATGTATCTCTGTGATATCTGTCTGCTTATATGTCTGTCTATAGTTTTCTGGTTAGATTTTTGTTGCTATTTCATTTATACCTGATGATGATTGCTTGTGTTGCAATCGAAACGTCGTAGTATGCTATTATTTAATTTATTATTTTATCTTCATACGTGACTTTACCGAAAGAACCAAAGAGTAGTCTGTTTAACGCTATACGGTGGGGGCTCTTTGCCTTGCGCGTGCGCGTGTGTGTTTGTCTTCCCCGGCCAGTGCGAGTACGGTCAGCGCGCCGACACGCGTCGCCGCGACGTGGAGCGCTGGCTGGGCTTCGTCACCTTCCTGTGCGAGGTGTACGGCACGATGCGCAGCAGCGCGTCGGAGCCGTACCGCGTGCTGGCCATCCCTGTCTACACCTGCCTGCAGGAGGTGCCACACTCGCGCATTTTTCCCTTTCCTTCCCCGGTCATTCTCGCGGCAGCGGCGGCTCCCCGGCCAGCCATCGAACAAAGACGGTCCACCGGATCGCGATGTGATTCGTAATATTGTTCGACCCGGCAAGGATGTCACCGTGACGCGCGCTTTCGGATGCGCTCCTGCGGCCGTCTGGAACGCTCTTCCTTCCGATATTAGGAAGCCGCTGCTTTTAAATCATCATCATCTAGATTGACAGCTCATTTCTTTAGAACTGCTTCTTGTGTTTTTAGTTTGTTGTCCTTCCTCCCTGCATCTCCGATTGCCTACGTACGGTGCAAAACAAGTTCAACATACACACACACACACGCATATACTGCAATCATACGTGTAATTATTTTATTTTATATTCATTCGGCAAGTGCACAATCGCGGAGCCATGCGGTAGCGTTGTCGGTGTCCGTGCGTAGCTCCGCTGAACTCGGACAGTGGACGGTCATCAAAAAACGTGGCATTGTTTGTAGAGGCTGCTACAGCTGTTGCTGTGTGGATGCTAGGAATTTCACGGAAAGTGTCGCAGGGGGGGTGGGGTAGGGATGCTGCCACACTGGTGTAGTGGTGAACACCGCTGGACTTCCAAGCTAGAGGTCGCCGGTTTGATTTGATCTCCTGGTGCGGCGGTTGAAAGAATGGTGCAAGTTTCTCAAATCCTCCGATTCCTTTGTCTTTTTTACCTTGGTTGTTTTGTTCTTCAAGAAAGTACCGTCTGATTATCCCTCCCCCTGCTCTCCCATTGTCCGTTGCTTCCCCGGCAGCTCCTCAAGGCCGAGGAGTTTAAGGAAGACGCCGTCCTCTGCTGCTGTTTGGAGGTAAGCCCCTTAAACGCGTCGCAACCGTGCGCGCGCAACCACGAAGTCGTCTCCGCGGTGACCAAATCGCGCCGTAGAAAACGCGTCTCGTCGCCCTACGTGTCGTTAACAGCTCTTGTCTACCGCCCTCTCTTCACCGCTACCTCCCCCCCCCCCCCAAACGCCCCGCTCGAACAGCTGCAGAGCGTCGGGCGGCTGCTGGAGGAGCAGCTTCCGGGGGTCATGACGGAGACGCTGGCGCTCGTGCGCGACAAGATCCTGAGCCCGTCCGAGTCGGCGCTGAGCCGCTCGCTGCTCCTGGAGGTGGTGGAGCTGCACGCGACGCGGTGGAGCCGCCTGGCTCCGCACGCCTCGCGCTACTACACGCGCACGCTGCAGCAGCAGCTCACCACGTGAGGAGCGCCGCAGCGGCGAGCGACGATGACGATCGCCGCAGATTGGCATCGCTCGCCCATACGCCTGTGTCGATACACCCAGCTGCCAACGTTCGTCACGCAGGCACACTGCCGCACCCTAGCAAACGCGCGTGCACACGCGCACTCGGTTACCCGCACGTGCGTCGCTAACACGCACCACACACCCTGTCACCCACGCGACGCACACACTCTGCCGTGGCAACCCACACACACACCCTGGCACCACATCCCACACGTACTCTGCCACCTCTGACCACGACACTGCCACCCTCGCACCACACACCCTGCCACTCATTTACAATTCACCCCTCACCACACACACTGCCACCCCTCGCACATGAACTCGTGCGCCCACCCGCCCCCTAACTCTTCATCCCTCTTTCTCTACCTCCCATTGTTAACTGTCTCTTTCTATCTCCACATTTATACAGATATTTCTCGCCGTTTCTCTATGCATATATCTCCATATCTCTTTCTAGGCGTTCGCTAACCTCACTTTGTCTGGAGTGTCTTTAGATCATCATCGTATTTGCTTTATACGAAGACAAAATGTGTTTTTGCGAGCACCCGTGAAAACTGGCACGGCACAGGATGGAGTGGGTTGGCCAATACTGCGCCTGGCCGCTTTTGACTCCCCAGTGCCGATATTTACACACACACACCACAGCGGGTACCCACTTAAGGTCGAGTCGACCTAGGCAAGGCCTAAAACCGGTTCAGATATTCTCCACTGTTATTGGTTTTGAGCGGGTAATGGAACTCGGGACGCTGGGTTGGTAGCGCAGCGCGCTAACCACTACGCACACACAGGCCAAACACACACACACTCACCATTGGAACCTCATTTGCCAGTAAAAAATATGATAATTGGTTTTTTACCCTTCTATCTGGTGCATTGTCTTTGAGTTGTGCGCCTTTTGGCGTCATCTGGTCCAACCCATGTGAGACTAGGCTCTAAGGAAAGCTGTCTCGGGTGTGGACCAATCAACTTCAAGGACAGTGCACATTATCAGAGTTATGTTTTTTGTTTGCATTATGACTGCAGGTATTGTGGTGTATGCAAACATGACTCCTTGTAAAAAAGGTGTCAGTTTTGTTGCCAGATAGAAGGGTAAAAAACCAATTATCACACACATTCGCGTGTCATTCTTATGTTTTCAGCAGTTGATATGGTGGTCACGTAGAGCAGCACATTGGTGACGTTTCCATTTGAAAAAAGTCAGCGTTCAAACATTGCTCATCTCACGTTTACAGCCCCAAGCCACTGTTGACTCCCCCCCCCCCCCTCCCCACAGTGGTAGTCATTTTATCTTGCCTTAACCGGGGCTTAGTTTCTCACCGATTATGCTCTGGAGTAGACACATGAATAGTAGTTATACTGCCATCGAAAGAGGTGTACTGGATATGGTGTGCAGGGCGCGTGGAAATATTTTGCGTGTCGCTGGTGGCAAGCGACTGGTATTAGCCATCTCGGCCACAGCTGAAGGTAAACTGGGTGCTGGTCGCCGTTGCGTTTAACCGGCTGCGATTACGTCCCGGTTATAACTAAAGAATTGATGTAACCCGGAGGTAAAGCGACCGTTTCGTGCAATGATCACCGGTGAATTTCAGCCGTACACTGAAGCGGGGGAGGTCATCCTGTGATTGGACTTTTTTATTCACCAACATTTTTTTTTACTTTATAACCGTGGAGTTGTCGGTTCCACTTGTAGATCCAGCCAACCCCGAACTAACTCCACACCCTAACCCCATCCGGAGCTTGTCACGTTCCGGTCAATTGATAATTGATTTGGGCAAAAAACTGATTTCCTACACAAGCGAGCATTGAGGCGGTGCGCATTTCCCATTCACGGCGAGCCTCTGCCGATGCACAGCCACCGTTGACCCTCCACGAAGCGGTTACCCCTCCGCCGTGGACGGATTTTGTAGGGAGTCACCGAAACACGGAACGAGCGTGTCATCATCGGCTTCCAAATTGTACCGCACCGCGGGGGGAGGGGGTGAGAAGTGGGGGGGAGGGGGGGCGAAGGGCTGGGGGGGGTTCGTTGCCGGGAGTGCACCAGTGGTCATTTAAAAAAAGTTGATCGACGCTTGCGTCGTTGCATGTTGCGTCTTTGTGTCCGCGTTGACGCATCACGCGTCCGTGCTGCGTTCATGCTGCATCGACGCAGGTTCCGTGTTGCTTTCCGGGCAGAGGCCGTCCGTTCTAACCATTCACCGGCCGACTAAACGGCCCGCGTGAAAATGTCACGGTTGTCAGATCTCGCTGGGACAAGCGCCCATTTGGTTTCTGTCTCGACGTCCCGCCGTCGTCGCCCCTTGTGCCGCCTCCTGTCACGCCGCAGCGCGGCTCTCCGCTGCGGCTCTCCGCTGCGGCTCTCAGTTCGTTCTCGCTTGTTGTCGTGCCCGTGGAGTGAGACGTCAGGATGTCGTGCCCGGAGAACACAACAATAGAAAACACAACAATGGAGAACACAGCAATAGAAAACACAACAATGGAGAACACAACAATGGAGAACACCACAACATAAAACACAGCAATAGAGAACACAACAACGGAGAACACAACAATAGAAAACAACGACAGAAAACACAACAATGGAGAACACAGCAATAGAAAACACAACAATTAAGAACACAACAATGGAGAACACCACAACATAAAACACAGCAATAGAGAACACAACAACGGAGAACACAACAATAGAAAACAACGACAGAAAACACAACAATGGAGAACACAGCAATAGAAAACACAACAATGGAGAACACAACAATGGAGAACACCACAACATAAAACACAGCAATAGAGAACACAACAACGGAGAACACAACAATAGAAAACAACGACAGAAAACACAACAATGGAGAACACAGCAATAGAAAACACAACAATTAAGAACACAACAATGGAGAACACCACAACATAAAACACAGCAATAGAGAACACAACAACGGAGAACACAACAATAGAAAACAACGACAGAAAACACAACAATGGAGAACACAGCAATAGAAAACACAACAATGGAGAACACAACAATGGAGAACACCACAACATAAAACACAGCAATAGAGAACACAACAACGGAGAACACAACAATAGAAAACAACGACAGAAAACACAACAATGGAGAACACAACAATGGAGAACACAACAATGGAGAACACAACATAAAATACAGCAACAGAAAACACAACAATGGAGAACACAACAATGGAGAACACAGCAACGACCCTGATGTTCAGGAAAGGGGTGGGGAGGGGGGGGGGTGGCCGGTGGTGTTCAGGGTGAGGGACGGTGGCTGTGAACCTCAGAGTGACGTTGCCCCCCACTCCTCCTCCCCGGGCCGATGTTGTTTAGGTGACGACTCTCAGCTCGTGACGTTGGGGCTTCCAAGCGGGAGATGCTTATGCAATTGGGAGGGCAGTTTGCGTTGGAAGTAATACTGCACTTGCTTGTTCCGAAGAAGGCAAGCAAAAAGGAATTGATACAAGGGGGAGACGATAACGAGGCCTGCACCGAAGAGTTATTTTCTTCTTCTTGGTTCTTTCGGTAAAGTCACGTAGAAGGGAAGTAATAAAATAATAAAAATAAAACATAATTAAACAATTCTCACGACGTTTCGGCAACAACGCAAGCAGCCGTCCTCAGGTGAAGACCAGGTCTGTCGGGGAGACAGCGTCTGACGCGTCTGACGCTGTCTCCCCGACAGACCTGCTTGCGTTGTGGCCGAAACGTCGTGAGAATTATTTATTATGTTTTATTTTTCTTATTTTATTACTTCCCTTCTACGTGACTTTACCGAAAGAACCAAGAAGATGAATCCCTGCAGTCACGAAAGCTTTAAATCGGAGTTATTTTCTTCTTCTTTTGCTGCGTCGATTTTCCGTGGCCGTGCCGCACAGCTGGGCCCACGTGGTGTGGAGTTCGTGTCGGGGGGCCGCCGTGTCGCGCGGGATGATGTTTGCCTTGTCGCGCTCCGGTGTTCGCCCTGCCGCTCGCGTGCTTTGATGCTCGACATCGCAGCGCCCGGGCACGCGCGCTACGATGCTCCGATGCGTACGGCTGGAACTTCCACTCGCCTTCCCGATTTCCCGAAGAAGAAGCAGCTGCCGGCACGTGGAGCAAAACGTCGGACGTCGTTCCCCCCCCCCCCCACCCCCCCCAACAATAGCAAACGACAAACTCAACGGAACGGAGCCGTTCCCGCAGGAAAAAAAAAGCTCCTGGCACGTGGTGCGAAACGTCGGACGTCGTGCCCAACAACACGCGGTACGCTCCGAAAGCACATGGTAGAGAGAGCTCAAGTGTTGTATTTTTTGTTGGTGTAAAGCTGTTGCACAAGGACGGTGAAGGATTCTGATGCACTTGACCTGACCCGCTGGGCTGGTGTGGATGGGCAGACCGGGGGTCGATTATAATTGCAGTTGCGTCATCCCTAATGAATGGCAATGCCACCGTAATTGTAAGGTCAGCCGGCTAACGGTGCTGCGTGTAATGGCTTTTCATTGTAATGAATCCCCAGGTCTCGGTGAACGATGTACGGACCGTTTCCTGTCTGCAGTGTTGAATTGGAAATGGGTTTCTTGAACCATTGCAATGTGCCATAGTGAGGCAGAACAATAACAATAGTGTAATGTACAGCCCTTTGTCAATCCACTGCTGGATGAAGGCCTCCTCCACGCTGCGTCGGTCACGGGGCACCGTTTTGTTTGTCCGCGCGGTTTAAGCAAATTGGGGGTGACTGTTTTCCGAAGTGGTTCGGATGCCGCCGTAGCTGGGAATCGAACTCTGGTCGATAGTGCGGCACGGCGCTCACCACCGCTCACCACCGCTCACCACCGCTCACCACCGCTCACCACCGCTCACCACCGTGCCACCAGTTCACCACATCCGCAACCTGTTTTTGTGAACCCACTGCCTGATGAAGCCATTATGGATATTCGACTATACTTCGCAACGCCGGTCAAGTGCGGGTTCAAGGGCGGGAGGAGTGCAGAACGAACCAGGGAATGTTGTAGCCGCACGGCACTCCACCTACCGCTGCAGCGACGCCTGTCGAAACGACGTGGCGGGTGTCTCAAATTGTCCGGGCGCATCTTGGAGGTCGCTGCCATGTGTTGCGGTTTCAGCCGCTGGATCTGGCGGAGGGCGGTAGAACGCCTTGGCAGCGAGAAAGTGCCGTGGCGACGGTGGTGGTGACGGTGGCGATGATGGTGGTGACGGTGGCATCGGCGGTTTGGGAAACTTTGACGTCGTGGTCTTGATCGGCCGTATCGCGGCCACTCGATGCCCGTTCCTATTTATTTTCCTCCCGCTCGCTCACTCGCTCACGCCTTGGGTGTCGGGTGGCACGTCCTGAGTGGACAGCACGGGGGGGCGGGGGGAGTTTGGCTTCCAATATTCGCGGCCGTCAACCTCTGTCCTGTCGTTGTAATGTTGCAATGTTTTATTTGCGCGGAAAAATCCGTTCCAGGAATTTCGCGAATGACGACAAAAATCGTCCCGACGCGACTGGGGTGAAAAGCGCAGGCTGTAAAACCGGAAGTTTCAACCAACACACAAAATGGGTGACTTTTTTTCGCTGATGACTCATAATTCTGATGAAGCCAGTAGTCCGCAGTTACCTATCACTGCTTCGCCGCTGACGTCGGTCGGTCACCCACATTTGTTGTGATGCTGACCTAGGACAGCGGCGGTGCGGTTCTTCGGGAAACGTTTATGGTTTGCGCACGAGGCTTGAAGGGCCGTGTGCGCCCCTCGCACGCGCTCAGGCGTTGTTTGAAACTCGGAAGAGCCGGCGTGGCCCTGAGCCGCGTGGAATGAGAATGAAGAAGTGTGTGGGGCCGTGTGCTGCCCGTGGACCTTATGAAATGAAGTTGTGGGCCTGTGTCTGTCTGGCTCCCTCCTCGCCCCCTTACCCGAGTTAAATCACTAATGTTGCGTCGCTCAACGGTTTTAATTTAATGTATTTATTTCAGGTTTTACCTTTTCGGCGAGTTTAAACGAAAGTACCGTCGCTCATTTTAATTTCTCTCTGAAAAGTTTGAAAGTGTTTTAATTTAAAAAAATAATATTTAAACTCCACGAGTAAATTCATGAAGGACAATCACGATGCCAGTGGGGGTGGGCTTCTTGTTGGGGTTTTTGTTTATTTTTAAAATGAAAGGCAGTGTCCAAAATTACAAATATGCCCACACACACACGTGCTGAGTTTTCTCCACAATTGGTTATTCAAGTTCGAGATCACGCTTTAAACAAAAAAAGACGACACCAACAACCACTTTGACATTTTTTTATGGGTTAATAAAGGATGCAAACATTTTCCATTATTATAATTAATCTGGTGGCTCGTGTGTGTGTGTGTATAATCCGTTGGCTTGCAATGCGCAATCGTGCAGAGGACCTTCGTACATTTGGCCATCTGTGGTGGGGCCACGGTTTGCCTTGTCTTTTGTTTTATGCCAAAGTCTCTCGCTTTCGGTGATATGCGGTTATTTTTGCGGCGATGCGAGGTTTGACGGCTGCGCTGCTGCTACTGCTGCATCGCCCTCCCGACGCGTTCACGGGTCGTGCCTGCTGTCGCCGCCCCGCATCGTTCGGCACGATGTCCCGACGTGTTGCCGCCACGTTTTGCCGCGGCCAGCTAGCGGTGAAATGTCGGACGTCGTGCCGAGCGGCACGACCCGCCTACACGTCGAAGTGAAATGTTTCCAGCGACGTTTCGACGAGCGGCGCTGATCGTTGAGGAATATCGTTTGTCGTCTGAGCAAAACAATTATTTGAAACGTTTGGCAGACGTTGGATGAGGTGTCGGTGGAGATCGCACACATGTAGCGGAGCGCTGTCCCAGATGTGCTCGGTTGTGCTGCTACTGTACGCCCGCAAAGTGTCCCACGTCTCACCAGTTTGCCCTCACGGAGAGTGACCCTCCTGACGTCGAAGAAAATGAAACGGGTGCAGCATGCCGACCGATTTAACCGCGTTAAGCCCGGTTAAGAGTCGTTCACTTCACAGAAGGTTACGATTCGTAACCGACCCCCAAAGATAGTCGGCAGCTTTTTGCGTTATTACGTTTTAGCGGTCGCACGATATATCGAGTTTTTGTTTCAGCATTAAAACAACGACCGGGGTGGGGAAGGAGGGGGGGGGGGGATGTCCACTCGTATGCTGTCGCGTTATATATAACACAGTACTGTATATGATTTCTCGATTTTACTTTATATATATAAAAGATGCTTTTGCGAGATTGCATTTTGCTGACTGTCAGTCGCGATGGCGGAGGGGATGAGAAGGATGAGAAGCTTCCCTCCTCCTGGTTCACGGTCGTCACCTCAATTCCCCGCGCCGTTAGGCCTGGAGTGTACGTAGGGTAGCCGCGTCGTGGCCACGATCCCTCCGGCAGCACCTTCGATGAGCACGGTTGGCTACGTACGACGGTGCGATTGAAGTTCCAAGTTGGATACGTCGAGACGGTGCAAGGTCCACGATCGTCGTGTTTTTTTGGTTTAAAAATTTTTGTTATCGCGTCACGATTTATCGTCGCTCGTATTGGAAAGAAAATATGTGATTCAATCTCCGGACACTCTTTTTTTTATGAACTAGCAAACACAAATGAATGTGCTCATAAATATAATAGCCGTCACAAGTTACGGTTCGGAATTTACAAAACGGTTTTTTTTTGAGTTGGCGGCGGTTTGGCATTTGCTTGTTATCATGTCGCCGCGTTCGCAGCTCTCAATTTTCGCGCGCTGTTTGATGCTGGTGACGTGCGCGTCCATAAGCACTACAGATGGCAAAGTAGCAACGATGAAACGGAGCCATCGGGGAGGGCTCTCTTATCGGGTGAACTGCAGTCGTGAAGACCTCTTAATGGGTTGTGTTTGTGTACTTGGGGGTACTGTGCGCAGCAAGGAACAAGGAAAAAACGCTGCAAGATTAAATGCGATATTAAATTACTAAATTATAGCCCTCCCCCCGGTCCCCACTCTCCTACTGGCAGACAATGTCACCTTGCAGGCCGGGTGCTGTGCGTTCACCTTGTCTCCCGCACAGGGACAGCTGCCAGTGGGGGGGGTTTTTAAGGGTCCCCTAGGCGAAATAAACAGCGAGGCATCATTGGGGGTTCAATTGCGAACGCAAGTATTATTATTCTTTGGGTCTTTCGGTAAAGCCACGTAGATAGAACAAATAAAAACAAAAACAATATCGTGACATTTCGATCACAACACAAGCAATCGTCATCAGGTGAAAACGATAGCGGGAGAGCTGCAAAGGCAGGGAGTTATGAAGGTTTGAGATGGGTGTAGCCCAAGGGTCAGTGGGTGGGGCTAGAGATGAAATTTGCATGTAAATGTCAGATCAGAGAAATCTTGACAAACGAAGCTGTGGGGGTGGCCATTGTATTGTGAGAGATTAGCGTGTCAATGTTAGAGATGTGCTTGTGATTGTAAACTCGGAGAGAGCTCAGAAAGAGCCATCGCCACATGGAGGTGGACAAGGATAGCAAGCCGCCATTTACTAACACAGCTAACGGTGGCTGTGTTAGTGAATGTAACTCAGAGATTCATACTCTTAGTTCTTTCGGTAAAGTCACCGTGTAGGTAAAAAA